ACTTGGTAGCCCAGGCTGGCCTCGAACTCACAGAGATCCGCCTGGCTCTGCCTCCCGAGTGCTGGGATTAAAGGCGTGCGCCACCAACGCCCGGCCCTGACCAAGAATTTTAATAAACCATATGTATGTATTGGTAAAATAATGAGGTTTGTTTATATCATTTAACCAAGTTGATTTTCTGCTTGATTATAATTCACTATCACTTGAATGGAATCTGTGTTTCTTATGTTGTCCCTGGAAAAATAGCTAGCACACAGAGATGGGAGAGACAATTAAATAAGCATTGCTATTTGTAGTAGGCATACTGAAACTAAATTGATATATCAAGATGGGCTTCAGTTGGTGAATTCTTCCTAACTGGTGGCTAAGCCTTAGGCAGGAGACTGAAAAGGACCAGACAGATAAAGAGCAGTGGTAGGTATCTGGAGCAGAACCAAACTGCTCATGTTGAGGAATGTTGCCAGCCATCTTCAGTTTGGGTGATCTGAGAAAGTCAAAGCTATTTTGTGTTTTATAGTACCCTCAACAGGTCTTTTTAGAGCATTGACTATAAATTCTCAGATTTGTCCTTTTCTCAATAGTATTGGGAGTTTTCCCAGTATATAAGAAGGCTTAATAGTGGTGTTTATAATACGAACAAAACTGTACAATTATGGACTTGAAGGGCTGCCATGCATGGTTGGTGGTGGTACTTACTGACTTGTTTTACTTCTATCGATGTGTTATTAAACTTACGTTATTGCCTTCTAGAATTTTGATAAGCTAAATGTAAGGACAACACACTATACACCTATTCCTTGTGGTTCAAATCCTTTGAAGAGGGAGATTGGGGACTATATCAGGTAAGCATGGTGAAATGGCTCTGTCTAAACTTAAATTATTTTGAAACTGATGCTTTCACATTAGTTATTCATGGAAGTAGTGGCAGCTTAGAACAGCTTTGCCCTGAATATATAGTCTATACATGTGATTTGCTTTTCTTTGTAACTCTTCACACTGTTTTTAGACCACAAGAACAGGTGGTACAATTACTTTTTTTTCTATTCTAGGACAGGTTTCATTAATCTTGACAAGCCCTCTAACCCCTCTTCCCATGAGGTGGTAGCCTGGATCCGACGAATACTTCGGGTAGAGAAGACAGGCCACAGTGGCACACTAGATCCCAAAGTGACTGGTTGTTTAATTGTGTGCATTGAACGAGCTACTCGTTTGGTGAAATCACAACAGAGTGCAGGTGTGTAGAAGAAAGAGTAGGGGGCTATCTCTTTAGTGATTGGAAAACATTCTTTCTGTACATGTTTTACTTCTACATTTTGGCTCTTGGAAACTTTCTTTAGAAAATAAAATCTTAATGCAGGAGTGTCATTTGGTTTCTATATAATAATTCTATTCTCTGTCAAAATCTGGTGGTTCTTTTTTTAAAAGTCCAGACACTAGGCAGGTGTATATTGAACTAACTAGTCCGTTCCTGTTGCTGGGGCATGTCCAATTCTATGCTTGTTGCCGTTGGTTTTTATTGTTTGTTGTTTTGTTTTTGTTTGTTTTTTGAGACAGGGTTTCTCTGTAGACCAGACTGGCCTCAAACTCAAAAGATCTGCCTGCCTCTGCCTCCCAAGTGCTGGGATTAAAAGCATGTGCCACCACTGCCCAGCATGCTTGCTGCTGCTTAACTCTCTGGTCATGCTTCTATCCCAAGTGTCTTTCCATTGTTTTTATTAGAGAAAATTATTGTTAAAGTGCAAAGTGTTTTCTAGTCAGACTAAACAGTAGGTACTCCATCTGCCATCACATTTGGCATTAAAGTGTGTGTATGTTCTTTTTACCTTCCTTTATTTTTTTGAGACAAGGTTTTGCTGTGTAGCTCATGCTGCCTTGGAAACCTGATTCTTCCCATCCTGGCCTCCAAACTGCTGGGTTTAGGTTGTAGGCATGTGCTATGCCTGACCCAAGAAAAAACATCTTCATTTCTCTTCCCTATCTGCAACATGAAATCTGTCAGTATAGATTTTATTGAAACGTGATGTTGGATTCCCTGCTGCTTCTCCCATGTAAAATGGCAATGGTAGAACATAATATAAAACAGAAAACTCAGTGGCCACACCTGACTACTCTTTTGTCATTTTTCAGGCAAAGAGTATGTGGGAATTGTTCGGCTGCACAATGCTATTGAAGGGGGTACTCAGCTTTCTAGGGTAAGTCTATAACTGTAGGGAGGGTGCCTTTGGTGATTTGGGTGTCTGAACTCCTAAATATCTACAAACAGGGAAGTTTTCCTGGTTAGTAGATCTTGTACCCTTTTATGAGTTGTCCTAGCCTCCTGGGTGAAGAACAACCGGTCATATCTTTCCTCAGGAAGAAGTTCTGATTAGCACTGAGCTATAGTGTGAATCCTAATTGGTCTTAATAATAAAAAACCAAGCCAGATTTGGGGGTAAATGCTGAAAGATCAGAGAGACAAAGGAGCAAGCCACAGCCACTTCTTACCTCGCCAACTCCTCAGCATGAAATTACCCCAATATCTGGGCTTTTATTATTAAGACCAATTAGGATTAACACTACGCTGAGCCATCCCTCGATTGAAGAAGAGGAAACTGAACTAAAGGGCCATTAGCTCTTAAGTTATTGAAAGAAAACTTTTATATTTGAATTATGTTCTTAAACTCCCTAAATATGCCCTTTTGTCTTATTTAAAAATGAGCCCACATAATGAATGTTTTTTTTTTTTTTTTGGTTTGTGCTTTGTTCTTAGGCCCTAGAAACTCTGACAGGTGCCCTGTTTCAGCGACCCCCACTTATTGCTGCAGTAAAGAGGCAGCTTCGAGTGAGGACTATCTACGAGAGCAAAATGATAGAATATGATCCTGAAAGACGATTAGGTGGGTCACTAGGCCTAAACCAAGCTGAATTGCTTTAGACCCACAACAGGTGGGAATGCATTCTCAAGGATTCTTTTATGAGTAGAAACTATGAGGAAGTTGTGTAGTTATACACTATTCCCTATGTCTCTTAACTCCAATCTTCTTTTTTTTTTAAATATTTATTTATTTATTATGTACACAGACAAGGGTGCCAGATCTCATTACAGATGGTTGTGAGCCACCATGTGGGTGCTGGGAATTGAACTCAGGACCTCTGGAAGAACAGTCAGTGCTCTTAACCTCTGAGCCATCTCTCCAGCCTAACTCCAATCTTTTTACTTGGTTTAGATAGGGTCTCTCAATTATGTAGCTCTGGTTCGTCTGGAACTTGCTATGTATGTAATCCAGGCTGTCCTTGAATTCACAGAGATCCACTTGTCTCTGAGATTAAAGTTGGGTACCACCATGTCCAGGGTATCTCTAATCATGGTTCAGTTGGAGAGGGGGAATATCATGTGTTTGCTCTAGAAAATAGGTCCTACTTGTTTGTGTGTGTGTGTGTATATTTGTCTTATCTTAGGAATCTTTTGGGTGAGCTGTGAAGCTGGCACCTACATTCGGACACTATGTGTACACCTTGGCTTGCTACTGGGAGTTGGTGGTCAGATGCAGGAACTTCGGAGGGTGCGTTCTGGAGTCATGAGTGAAAAGGTATGCAATTAAGGGACTAGACAGTTTTGGAACTGATTCTTAAGACTGCCCTTGGTAGAACTCTGCTTTACATCTTATGAAAGATTCCAAGGTGTTGAGTTCAGTTCAGGGCAGCTTCCCTGTTCTGTTAATTAAACTTTGGGACATTGAAATTGGCTAAGGGAAATGACTGAATAGAGAGTATTACTCTGTTCATACACTTCCTAGTCTACACCAAGCTTGCTTAGAGCTTGCAGGTGTGACTCAGTGTTAAGAACACTTGGCAAGCATTTACAAACACCACCTGGGTTCCATCCCTAGCAGTACCAAAAATTGGAGTGCCTACCTAGATCTAAGATGGCAACATGTACAAATACCCCAAAGTAGATTCTGAAGTCTCATGATGAGCCTGGACTAGAAAACAATGTATAGTTACATTCAGTTGTCAAAAGTTTAGGGGTCTGATGGATGGATATACAGTATGAAGACACAGAATTTAATATCTGACTGCTTTTCAGGACCACATGGTGACAATGCATGATGTACTCGATGCTCAGTGGCTGTATGATAACCATAAGGATGAGAGTTACTTGCGGCGTGTTGTTTACCCT